AAAATAGAGGTTATTGAACAATATTTGGAAATAACTCCAGACGAGAAGAAACCTTCTGTTACTCAACCTTATTCTCTAAAAGAAGTTCTTAATAGAACAGAAAATATAATAATTGATGATAAAGATGCTTCAATGCAAGACCTTAAAGCAGAAATTAATCAACTTAAAGTTGAAATAAAAACAATAAAACAAAGGCTTTTAGCATTAGAAAAAATGCCAATAAAGGAAGAAGACGCAAAAGAATTACACTCTTCTCCCAAATATTTAAATGAATTAGAAAAAATAACCTTTCAAAAATGGTGTGTTAAAATCATATTTATAATTAATCAATAATTAATCGTTAAAATTATTGCATTAATTGACAGTGGAACAGATATAAATTGTATTAGAGAAGGATTAATTCCTACAAAATATTTTGAGAAAACAACCCAGACATTAAGTACGGCTGATGGATATAAATTAAATATAAAATTTAAACTTTCAAATGTTTATATATGTAATCAAGGAATTTGTATACCTTCTACTTTTATGCTAATAGGAAATTTAAATCAATTAGTAATCTTGGGAACACCATTTTTATCTATAATTGAACCAATAGAAAGAACAGACTCCAAAGGGATTTTGACAAACTTAAGGGGTCAAAAGGTATTATTTGAGTTTATAACTTCACCACAAGTAAAGATGATAAATCAAATAAAAGAAAATTTGATTCATAAAGAAAATCAATTAAACTTCTTAAAAAAAGATGTTAAAATTTTAAGTATCCCAGAAAAACTTAATACTCATGAATTTAAAAATAAATTAAAAGAAACTGAGAATAAAATAATCAAATAAGTTTGTGAGACTACTCCTACTGCTTTTTGGGATAGGAAAAAGCATGGTCACTCTCCCTTATATCAAGGAATTTAATGAAAAAGATATTCCTACTAAGGTTAGGCTGACACAAATGAATAAGGAATATTTGGAATTATGTAAAAAGGAGATGGATTCATTAATGGAAAAATCGTTAATTCGTAAAAGTTATTCCCCTTGGAGTTGTGCAGTCTTTTATGTCAATAATGTTGCAGAGAAGGAGCAAGGAGTTCCTATATTGATAATTAATTACAAACCTTTAAATAAGGTATTGCAATAGATTAGATATCTCATTCTTAATAAAAAGGATTTGTTATCTCGATTATATAATACTAAAATCTTTTCTAAGTTTGATTTAAAATCAGGGTATTGACAGATCTAAATCGTTGAGGAAGACAGGTATAAAACTGCTTTTACAGTACCTTTTGGACATTATGAATGAAATGTTATGCCTTTTGGGCTTAAAAATGCCCCATCTGAATTTCAGAATATTATGAATGATATATTTTATCCTTATTATAAATTTTGTATTGTCTATATTGATGATATGTTACTCTTTTTTGATTCCATTGATCAACATTTTAAACATTTAAATATATTTCTTCAGATAGTAAAAAATAATGGTTTAGTTCTTTCTGTCATTAAAATGAAATTATTTCAATTAAAATTTCGATTTCTAGGACACTATATTGAATAGGAGAGTATAATCCCAATTGAGAGAAGTATTGAATTTACTTCTAAATTTCTTGATGAAATTAAAGATAAGAAACAATTACAATGATTTTTGAAAAGTTTAAATTATTTAACAGAATTTTATAAAAATCTTACTGCTATTTTATATTCTAGACTTAAGAAGAATCCATCTCCCTGGACAGATCTTCACACTAAAGCAGTAAATAAAATTAAGTTTAAAGCTAAATATTTACCATATTTTTCACTAGTAAACCCATCATGGTACAAAATTGTTGAAGCAGATGCTTTAGATAAAGGTTATGGAGGCATTCTTAAACAAAAAGATCTTAGTTCTAATAAAGAATTACTAGTTAGGTTTACTTCAAGAAAATGAGGATCTACTCAATTAAATTATTCTACTATTAAAAAATAAACATTATCTATTGTTAAATGTGTTAATAAATTTCAAGACAATTTATTAAATCAAGAATTTTTATAACGAATTGATTGTAGTTCTGCCAAAAATGTTTTTGAACAAGATGTTAAGAATATTGCTTCAAAACAGATATTTGCTAGATGATAGACTATTCTTTTTGTTTTTGATTTTAAAATTGAATATGTTAAAGGAAAATTAAATTCTCTTTCATATTTTCTAACTAGGGAATTTTTGCAGGGCTTTCATAAATAGGGGTCAGAGCAGTAACCGTGGTTGAGGCTGCAGAAGAGGAAGATCTGGGGGTAGATCACAGGTCAATGCTTATTATCCTCTTTTAATTGAATCATTAAAGCTTAAAGTTGTTAATAAACAACTTCTTAAAGAAACATCACATAAAAGTGAAGAAGGATCTTCACATAAAAGTGATGATAAATATAATGACAATTATATTGTCGTTCAATCTAAAAAATCTATTAAAGAGGCTCTAGTAGCCAAACCACAGTTAAACTATACAGAGTTACATACACTGCCTGATTATAACAGTATAACGACTCTTGATAATGAATATATTAATTAGATGACATATCCATACTATATTGTTAATTGATTTATGATGATGGATCAAGCCTTCTTATTTTCTAGAAATAAAAACAGAGAATATTACGAAAATATTCTTATTGAGACTGACTCTGTTAAATTTCAAAATTTTTTTAATTATAATTCCGATCATAAAGATCTTCAATATAGTAAAGCACTAATATTAAGAGTGATATCTGGTAAAGATTGGGGTCTTAATTTAATTATCCTCATAACTTTAAGNATTGATTTATGATGATGGATCAAGCCTTCTTATTTTCTAGAAATAAAAACAGAGAATATTACGAAAATATTCTTATTGAGACTGACTCTGTTAAATTCCAAAATTTTTTTAATTATAATTCCGATCGTAAAGATCTTCAATATAGTAAAACACTAATATTAAGAGTGATATCTGGTAAAGATTGGGGTCTTAATTTAATTATCCTCATAACTTTAAGGAATCCTCCATATACAAAGTATAACTACTTTGATTATATTGACACTTGGAATAATATTTTTTTGTATAATGCCATAAATTTAAAGCATTCATGGTTCTTCCAATTTACTGAAACATGTATGAAAATTTTAAACTGGTTTTATGCTTGGTGGGAAACTCATGGTACTATTAAAAGGATATATCCTGAACTTATAAAAAAATTATTTGACTCATATAAAAACAAGAGTACATCCTTAAAGGACAATGATATTGCAGCCAAGCCAATAATTAATTTCTCACTCGAATTCTTTGTTCCTTGGATTTGGTGTGGACTTTGACTTGTGATTATAATCAGAACAAACATCCCAAACTAATTAGGGAATACCATGTTCATTTTTGGAATAACTATCCGCTTGAATCTAAATGTCAAGTCATAACAAAATGTCTTAAAGACATGGATAAAAAGAAAGATAAACCTTCAACTTCCACAATACCAGTATAAACACTGGATTTAATCTTGCTGAAGTTCTTAAAGAACAAATTAAAAAAGAAAAACCTCATTTAAATACTAAGCAGCTTAAAGTCACAGTTATGGAGGAGATGCGTGTTCAGGTTATGTCAATATTAGGCATGGGCAAAACCGAAAAAATGGATCTCACTAACACTCCACCAGTTGTCATAAAAGGCAAAGGGAAAAATAAAGTTGAGAAAGATAATAGAAAAACACCCACTCCTATTGAGTCTAATGACAACTTAATAGATTTTCAATGATATACCCCTCTTAAAGGTGACGTTTTTATTAATGAAGATTTACTTAATGATGATATAGAGATAAACCTTCATGATGACAACAAAAATATGTTGTATAATTTGTTTTACAGAAAATAATCAGATAAAACCAAATCTCCGAATAAAGCCGATTCTGAAANCACAGTTATGGAGGAGATGCGTGTTCAGGTTATGTCAATATTAGGCATGGGCAAAACTGAAAAAATGGATCTCACTAACACTCCACCAGTTGTCATAAAAGGCAAAGGGAAAGATAAAGTTGAGAAAGATAATAGGAAAACACCCACTCCTATTGAGTCTAATGACAACTTAATAGATTTTCAAGGATATACCCCTCTTAAAGGTGACGTTTTTATTAATGAAGATTTACTTAATGATGATATGGAGATAAACCTTCATGATGACAACAGAAATATGTTGTATAATTTGTTTTACAGAAAATAATCAGATAAAACCAAATCTCCGAATAAAGCCGATTCTGAAGGAGTGACGCACGCTATGACATCACGAGAAGATTAGAGCTATGTACAGTAATGATGACACATGTAATGACGTCAATGTAAATTATTAAAGTTGTGTATAGTAAAAAGTTGTAAATAGTATAAGTTAATTTTGTACAAGAGTAAGTTTGAATATTACAGACCATAATAAGTTTGTCAAAAGATGTTAATTGCATGGGATTTTCACCCACTTCACATTGCAACTAGACCACAATCTTTTTGGTATTATAAGGGGACAAAACAATACACGTTAATAAGTTATTACATTATTTTATATTTTATGTATATATATACACACATATATATAGTTTTTTTTTTTTTTTTTGAGAACATGGGAGGGGCCATGGCCACCCTAGGCCTAAGTGTAGTTCCGTCCTTCGTTCAACAACTAATGTTCTTTATGTTTTCTTTCCTCCCCTATTTATTAGTGTAACACATGCTACCAAGCCTCCTATTATCTCACTTAGGCAAAGGGTCAAGCCAACCTGTGGTCAAGCATTATCAAATATAGCCAAGTGGAGCTCAAGCAGATTTTGTATCTAGCTTAAGTTCACTCCAATTTTGACCAGCACCTAAGTGAGGCCAAACAGGAATTCAAGCGCCCTTCTACTCGGCTCAACTTATATTGTATACACCCTTAACTACAAACAGGCACCAGGCATTACTTTAATGTCCTATTTTATGCCATGCATGTCAACACCATATCCAGCGAAGATATTCATTGTCCAAGGTAGATTTTTAAACAAATGATTGCAACCAACTATAATGCCACAAAAGTACAGGAAATCCAAATAAGTTTCTCTTCTAAGTCTAAGAGCGCTAGAAATATTGGTAAGATTCACAAGAACAACTATAGAGAAAATCTTGAAATGGGATTGAGTAAAACGAGTATCCTGACACAAAATATGCATAAACTCTGAAAACATGGCACCAATAGAACAAAGACAAACCCATAACCAGAACTTGCTAGGTTGCGTTATAGCACAAGGCCAATGTAGAAGGGCTCGAGGAAGATTTGGAATCTGTGAAGGAAGTATATAAATGAAAAATGTTACTAGAGATTACAGAAAGTAGGCCAAATCACAAAGGTTGAAGAAGAAAATACTAACCTTCTAATTCATTCTGCATCCAATCTTGCGCACATATCAAAGCTTGCAAAGTGTCCGATTTCAGTGAACTTCGATAATGATCAAGGACTCTATTGTCGCTGTCTAACACCGACTCTGATGCATCTTTTGACAGGGGAATTCCCAAAATGTTGCGTGCCATCATTGATAAAATTGGATACCTTGGAGTGTGAACCTTCCACCAATTCAATATGCTGAAATCAACATTCCGAGGAAAGAGAGGTTCCTCCAAATACTTGTCCAGGTCTGATTTTACATTCTGGCTCTGAGAAGTTTCATTGAGAAATTTATCAAAACCTGTCAACCTATCCCTAGAGTCATTACCAGAACCAACCCCAGCAGTACCACCTACTTGACAAGCCAAACCTTGACCATGGGAAGCTAACGGGGAGAAGATAGCATGTTCATTATAAAGGGCCTTCATACAATTAGAAACAATATCAATGCATTCAGCAGCACTGTTGCCATAAATTAGTGGATAGTAATACTCTACCAACTTCATCTTGAATCGAGGATCTAAGATGGCTGCAATTGCCAATGCCAAGCTGCATTTCTTCCAGTATTCATCAAATTTGCTTTTCATTTTTAAAGCTAAAGAACTAATGTAATCATCTGAGATCTGGCACCATTCAATCAACTGCAAATGAATATCACAAATTTCAGGGAAAAATATATTTGCAGTTAACTGCTTGCTTCCTGCAAAAACATTTGAAACTTCAAAAAAGAGCTTTAAGAAGCTAGTAATGACACTAGCTCTGTCCCACTCTAAATTCGATGGGCACATTGTGTAGACAGGGTCATGTTCTTGCAGAAAAGAAAATGCAAGCTTATACTCTAAAGCAACTTCAAGCATGGCATATGTTGACTTCCAGCGCAGTGGATTATCCAAACATAAGCACTTCTGACAGTTTACTCCAGCTAGCTGTTCCATCTCACTGAACTTTTCTTGTGTTCCTTTTGAGCTTTTAACATAACAAATGCTTTCCCTAACCTTATGGGTCACTGCATATAGTGTTTCCAAGGCATCTTGAACCATCAGCTTGATAACATTTGCTGCACAGCGTACATCAAATAGTTGACCCTTGCACAAAAGAAACCTCTGCTGGGAAAGTCGGTCTCTAATTCTGCAGATGATGTTGTCATAGGTAGAACAACTATCGAATGTCACTGAAAACAATTTTCGATCAATATCCCAATCCATTAGACTCTTCATGATAACTTCTGAAAGCATGTCTCCTGTTTCAGAAGGATCAACAAATATAACATTCAGAATCTTCTTCTTGAACTGCCAAGCATCATCAATGTAATGTGCTGACAAAAACAAGTAATCAGCATTGCCCTTAGCGAACCACATATCTGCACTAAGGCTGATTTTACCAGGCAATTTATCCAACACCTCACACACCTTCTGTTTCTCTTTCTCATAAATTTCCTTACAGTCATCCTCAACTCTCTTAACTGTCACAAGCTCAAACAAGGGCTGAAGATTTCTAATGAATATTTTGAAGCCAACATGCTCAACCATAGCCAAAGGATAGCCATGTAAGATAATCATGCGAGCAAGATCAAATCGACTTCGCTTATGATCAAAGTAAACATTTCCAGTGTTAGTGCCATCTTTTGTTTTCCCTTGTTCAAATTTAGTATTCATGGGGTTGTGTGTTTCAGCCTTTCTATGCTCTTGATTAGAACTCACATTAGCCAGGGCAAGGGTTCCTTCCTTTTTCTTTCCTCTTGCAATAAGCAATTGAGCTACATCATGGTTTGATCTTCTCCGACATCTCATTAAATGATTTCTCAGATGTGATGTTCCACTGGTACTTGACCCACATAGTTTCCTTTTACAATGCCTACAAATAGCCACACAAGTGTCCCCCTTTTTCACCCTGTCAAAATCATTCCATACAGCAGATTTCAATCTACTAGTATCAACAATGACTGCCTCATCAGATATGTCCATTGCTTGAACCTGATATTTTAGTAAGCTCTGCCAATCATACAAAACAATGGCATATATGTTAGTTAAAAGGAGCATATTCACAAACCAAATAAGCAATACAAAAACTTCTCTATTGCCACAAAGAGCACCAAAAAACATTACTAGCCTAAACCACACTAAAACATTTTGATTATCATAAAAACAAAAGTACAACCTTTATTCCTCAGGAGTAGAGATGGCAAATAGGCAGTTTGAGTGGGTTGGGCGGATTGATAACTGTTTGGTTGTAATCCATTCCAGTTCATCTTTAACCCGCTTAATAAACGGGTTAAAACATGTTCGGTCACAACTGGCTGGGTTAAACCCGGTAAGCCGCAAGTAAAAACATTAGGATAATCACATACAATAATAAAACACACACTAACACATATAAAAACACACAAAAACACATATTGATAAAAGAAAATAAACACACAGCATGCTAGTAAACACATGCACCCACACACACACTATACATGTAAAAACATACACACATTAATACACATAAAAACACACAATACTATAAATATGAAAACATACACACCTCCCCCCCCCCAAAAAAAAAAAAAACTATACATATAAAACCACACATCCAAACCCACTCTAAACATACAAAAACTCATCCACACATGCTCTAATAGACAGTTGAAACTCAAATAATCAAATATTAGGGTTTAGGTTTGGGTTTAGAGAAAGAAGAAGAAAGAGAAAAGGTAAAGAGATTGAAAAAATAATGAGGATGTATGTGACCAATACCCTACCACATATTTATATTAAATTGATATTGCGAACAATTACAATATTAACAAAGTAACACGTAATAAGAAAGCAACATAATAGGAAAGTAGATCTCCAACACTCCCCCTCAAGCTAGAACATAGAGATAAAAAATGCCTAGCTTGGAACAAATGTTAGTAAAGGTGGACCGCGCCAATAGTTTGGTAAGAATATGATCAAATTGATCACCAAACTTAACATAAGGAGTGATAATCTCCTTACACATTAAGAGATCCCGAATAAAATGATAATAAACTTCGATGTGTTTGGTACGCTCATAAAACATTGGATCACTGACAATAAAAATGGTTGTCTGATTGTTACAATGCATTTTCATAGGAGATGACACATCAACACCCATCTTCCACATGTAGTATGAGTCATGTCACGACAATCAGCCTCTGCACTAGAACATGCCACCAATTTTGCTTCTTACTATGCCAAGAAACAAGTTTACTACCAAAACATGCACAATAACAAAAAATAGATCTCTTATCAACACGACTACCTATCCAGCTTGCATCGGAAAATCTAGTAACAATTAAGGATAACGACGGCTGACATAACAATC